CCGTTAGTCTCCAAGTGCTTGTATTACATCCTGCAGATACATAACTTTCATCATTACTCATCTGTCCTGTGCTGGATGAAAGTGAAATAATGCAGTAGAAATATCTGTGTGATCACCTGACTCTTCCTCTTTATCCAAAAGCTCTTTTCCAGGCTTTTTCCTGCTTCATTTACTGCAGACTCTTTCCCTTGTGTCCTCCTTGAAACTTTTATTGGTCCCTCTGCCAAATCCATCCAAATAATTGAAATCATCCTTCCCCTTAAATTCTTCATCTGCTCTTCATTTTCCACTGCATCTATTTAAAATCCCTTTTTGTCTATAATATGCTGCTATATCTATGACTTGGCCTTATTGTGTCACTGCTCCCCTCTCCGCTGTGCTAGTGATCCCAGCCTTGATGCCCCATTCATTTGTTCCTTCTGTCTTCATGGATTTTTTTCAACACTTCATCTGTGTGCAATACCCTCCTATGTCAGTCTAACCATCTACCACTCTCTATTCCAGTGATTCTCAACCAGAGTGCCACAGCACCTTGGGGTGCCTTCAGATCCTTTCAATGGTGCTGTGGGGTGCCACACAGTGTTAGTACTATTAGGTGTGTGAACATGATTCACAAGATAAGCCCAGAGATTTCAGCGAGGAATCCATAGTGTTAAAAACATTCTGACCTGTTGAGTTCTTGGCAACAAAAAATTGCTCTCCTATTTTTCTGTAGTCAAAAAGCAAATAAAAACTAAGAACCGGCATTTTCTGAGGGGTGCCTTGAGTCTAATGAGTGGCGGTGTTGTGAGTCTAAAAAGGGTGAGAAACAGTGCTCTATTAATTGATATACCTCCTCGAGACTTCCTGATTCCACAATGTTGGCAAGAAATGAATCAACAAAAATATTAATAAGGATTTAACATTAAAAAAGAAAAGACTGTCAATTATTTGCTCTTCTAGACTACCCAACATAATATGGGATAGTATGGGCAAGATTTTAGTCTGGTATATCAGTATCCACCTGCAGAGTATCTGACTCAAATCTACATATCTTTCAGGCTTCAGGAATGCTGGCAGACTAGTATATGATAGTCACTGCTTAATACAATACTGGAGAAAAGTGTGGTTTCCAACAAATCTAAATATATTGTTTGAAATATTCATTCAGATTGAAAATATTTTGAAATATCTTGCTTACAAATTGAGGTACATTTTCAACATAGTATGGGAGATTCCAGCAGCAAGAATCCCATTAGTATAGATGGGAATAATGGTTCTAAATTCTTAAGTGTTACAGTACAAAATAAATACAGTACCTCTAAATATTATGTGGCATGTATAATGAAAGATGTTTACTAGCAGTGTATCATATGGGTATCAAATGCATTCTTATACAAAATGCCCCATATAAATATTTTTGTGGAGAAAGTGTTAATAAAGACCTAAAAGTAATTGAAAACTGAAATACAAATGGCAAATACAAATACTGATACATTTGGACCTTTGTTCCCTTAAACTCTGTCACGGGCATCTCCCCAGATGAATGGCCAGGCCGCAGCGAAATGGCAGAATGCTAGGCCTAACACGAGCCTCTGGACGGGTGACCCCTGTCACGCTCACAAGGCAGGGAAGTCAACCGCATCAAACTGCCATCGAAGCAGGAAGGAAATCGCAACATAACTGGCTAAGCAGAAGACAATGAGGGGACTGCAGTGAGGAAGGGGCTCCTGATGAGTGAACAGAATGCTGGCAGGAAGGTAACACAATTGGCCAGTAAAAATAAGTGAAAAAGAGTAAGGGTATAAAAGGGTAGAGCCGCGAGGCCCTGATGGGGCAAGTTCGAACCGTAACTTCAAGTGTCAAAGGGCCCGCGGACTGATCACCCGCAGGCTCGCGCCCCCTCCCCCCCCGAGCACTGCCTCAGGTCGTTCTTGAGGCCTCCACGAAGAGACTAACGTTCCCAGCCATGAAGCCGCTCCTTTTGTTTGCTGTAGTGGTAAGCATGCATGTAAGACTGTAGTCATTTGTGTTTGTATTTGTCTGTCTTTCCTGTAAAAGACACGAGCCGTTGACCAAGTCTGGGTCTAGGGTCTTGGCTAGCCGCACCAAGGTCGTCCACGATCTTGAAAGCAAGGGGCCTTGATCTGAACCTCATGACTCAACAGACGTAATTTCCTGTTTAGCTGTTTGTAGTTATTTTGATTGATTATGTTTTGATTGTTAAATGACCTTTTAAGAAATATAAGCTGTTGACCAGGTCTGAGGCTAGGGCCCTGGCCAGCCGCACCAAAACCACTTGTGGTTTTGAAAGCAAGGGGCCTTGACTCGAACCTTGTGACCCAACAGACATCACTCTCCAGCTTTGATTGTTTGATTATTGTGTGTTGTCATAGATTAGTATTATATAGGAAATCATTTGCTTGAGTTGTCAATATTTTATAGGTTAAAGCCAAATAAATACTGCATATTAATCATAAACTGCGTCCTCATTGGTGTCCAGCCCACCGACCTAGCCACAACTGGGCATTTTCAACCTAGTGCGACAAACTCAATAAAAATATTTTTAATGATATTTTAATAATATTATGTTAAACTTGTGACAAAGACTACAGTTATTACAAAACAGTACAGTGGGAGTATTTCTCTGAGAAGAATTGTGAATGTTCTTTTTAGAAGACAGAAAATGAAAATCTTGATGATGAGAATAGAATGGACTCGTAAAAGGACATTCAGATTTTTCTGGTATCTGAGCACAGTTAAACATAAATCTGTGGCTAATAGTAGCAGCAGTATTTTCAAATTATGAAAGTGGAGCACTAAAAAATATCTTACATTGTAGATAACAGAATTTATTCTTAAATGCTCTTTGATGTATAATTAGGTAGATAGTGTTCTGCTTTTTTCTTTGAAGGTTCTTAAGATATGTTATCTTGCACTCCAACTGGCTTTATAATGATTTATTATACTGAGAAGAATTATACAGTGAAGAGGGGTTTCCACTGTACTAAAGAAGTGTACTAAAACTAGGCTCTATGCTAGTCACAATTTTAAAATGACAAATTCTTATAACAAAAGAGTGAGAGAAATGTTAGGAAAAGTTGTTAACATTCATAAAAGGTGCCAGATTAACACTACTGGAAACTGAACCTGCATTTCTGCTTAGAAGAAGTAGTAGCAGCCCAAGCTTCCAGTATAATGGGTATGAACTCTCATTTAGGTAGTACCTCTAAGGGTAAAAATGTTTTTGTGACCTTTCAGTCTCTGGCTACCCTAGTGCTGCCTTTGGCATAGTGGTCTGTTTATCAGGAAAATGGATCAAATGAACCAACCTACTTCTGACAAGCCCTAATGGTATCAATTGATAGCATCTGTCTGACACAGTCTATTTCTTCGCATTACTTTGTCCTCTGACAAGGCTGGATATGGTTTCCCAGTTATCAAAATCCCAATTTCCAGGTATACAAACAAAACATAACCTGATCATCTCCAGTCCCTATTTTCTGTGTTGCTGGAACCTTAGACCTTCTCTGGGATTCTTAAAATGTTAGTAAATCAAAGACACTACCTCTAGTGTCTTTCTCCCCAGGAGACTCACAGGCTTAGTCTGCTCCAGCTATACTCACCCTAATCCAGATTCCTCAGTCATGTCCTTGGAGAAGAAAAAATGTAAACCATGTTGGAATACTTTAAAAAACAAAGACATGAAATGATACAATATATTTCTGAGTACAGTCATGGATGGATATAGCCTGTTGGGGAAAAAAGGAAGTGTTGACCTATATATAAAGGCGATGTTCATATGTTCTGAGGATCAGTATGAAGTGAAAGGTATGCCTGTTGAAAGCCTCTGGGTAAAGGTCAGAGGAGAGAGCAACAGGGGGAATGTCATGATGGGCATCTGTTACAGGCCACCAAACCAGGAAGAGAAGGTAGACAAGGCCTTCTTTAAACAACTGACAGAATCTTCCAAATCTCAGGAAATGATTCTTATTGACGACTTTAATTATCAGGACAACTTCTGTGAAGGAAACATTACTGCACAAACAATCCAACAGATTATTGGAGTATATTGGGGATAACTTTTTGATACAGATGGTAGACAGGCTAACTTGGGGGGAAGCTTTTCTTGAATTGCTGCTCACAAACAAGGGGGAATTGGTTGAGATTGTGAATCTGGAAGGCAACTTGGGTGACAGTGACCACAAAATGATAGAATTAAAGATCTTAAGGGGAGAAAGAAAGGAGAGCAGCACTGGACATGAGAAAAACAGACTTGAGTAAATTCAGGGAACTGATGGGCAGGATCCCCTAGAAGCAAGTCAGAGGGGTAAAAGGAGTCCAGGAAAGCTGACTGGAAACTGGTCATGGTATTAAGAAAGAGTATAAGAGCATTGCATGGGCATGCAACGATAAAATTAGAAGGGCCAAGGCATGATTTGAGATGAAGCTGGCAAGGCAAGTAAAAGGCAATAAAAAGGGATATTACACGTATGCCCAAAGTAAGAGGAAGATCAGAAAAACTTTAGGTCCCTTATAGAATGCAGAAGGTAATCTAGTTATGGATGATACCGAGAAGACTAAAGTATTTAATGTTTTTTTATTATTTCAACCTTCTCAAACAGGGGCAGCTACCAGATGATGAGTGCAGTTGGCAACAAAGATAGGGAAGGAGACAAACAGCCCAGAGTAATGGCAGAACAGATTATTTAGAGAATCGAGATGCCTTCACATCATCAAGGCCAGATGGGATGGATGAGGAATTGACTGAAGTAATTTGAGAGTCATTAGCTATCTTTGAGCACTTATGGAGGTTGGGTCTCAGATGAATGGGAAAGGGCAAACATAGACATAACATCTTTAAGAAAGGGGGAAAGGGAGGATCTGGGGAATTACAGACCAGTCAACTTGACCTTGATACCTGGAAAGATCATGGCGCAAGTCCTCAAGGAGTCCATTGTGAAGCACCTAGAGGAGAGCAAGGTAATTGGGAACAGTCAGCATAGATTCATGAAGAGCAAGTCATGTCTGACTTTAAACGAGTGAATCCTTATTGAGTTCACTCATTTACTTTCCTCATGGGACTGTGTGTGTGCTAGTGCTTAAGGTCCCAGCAGGTGGTTTGAAAATTTGGTATCTAACAGCACGTCTGCCCTTTCTTTCCTGCCATGACTAGATGTTAAAAAAAAACATAAGAAAAGAGGGAGGCTTGCTGGCCTAGAATGCTGTAGATCTATGGCTTGCTGTAGTTTTTTGCACCCGATGACCTGCTTTGTGGTCACAGGCACGCCATGGCAATATGTTTGCAGACCTGAGTATGCCTATGTTCCTGTAATTTTATTGCTAACTTCTCAGTTAACTTAATCTCTAATCCTGACTGGGGTTACTTAATCGTTCATAGCCCTGGGATATCTGCCCCGATATAACCCCTTTTGAAAACAAGAAATATCCTCTGGTGGGTTGCAGAGCTGCTGTTCTTGGAATTTTTCCCAACCACATTCCCTGCAACACCACCACTCATGGCTGGTTGTCTTCTGGTCTTGCAGATTCTCTTTCCTGTCTAGACTGCGGTTCTCCAAAGTTTCCATCACATCCAATTCTCAATCTTGGATTTAGGTAAGTGAGAGAGACTCCTCTGAGTCTCAAAAGGAGAGAGTTTCCTGTTGTCCTCCATCACCTCTGCTTGGGCAGGGCTTAAGCATTCTTACTCTTTGGTAACTTTCTCTTCCCTCCTGTTTCTCCCTCTCCCCTGCAGCTGTTGCTGGGTACATTTTTATGACAGCCTCTGTTGCACGCCCAGCTAACCAGAATCGGCAGGAGCTTACAAATCTCGGCATCTGTGCTCCCGGTGAGTCCCAATCTTCTTCTTCTTGTCTGCAACAAGGTAAGCATTTGTGCTTGGAGCAACTCCTCTGTCACTCTTCAGGGCCTTCCAGATTCATTCCCTTGGGATCCATACTTCCTTAGGGCGGGTAGCACAATCTTCACTGCTACACTGATCCACCTGATTTCCTTCTATGAGTAGACGATGGGTGTGGTGAATGTGGGAAGACCACTGGATATGATATACTTTGACTTTAGCAAGGCTTCTGACACTGTCTCCCATGACATTTTCATTAACAAGATAAGGAAATACAGAGAAGGCAAAAGTACTGTAAGCTGGTGTAACAGAGAACCCCCACCACTATTACGTATAAAGAAGGCCAAGTATTAGGGTTGTGTGAAACAGGCCGTATTTGATTCAGATTTGGATTTGGCCAAATCAAATAGGGGACAGTGATTTGATTCATTGATTCAGATCACTGTCCCTGATTCAATTTGGCTGAATCCAAATCTGAAGATTTGATGCTGATTCAGAGAATCAGCAATTTGGCCATAGATACAGCTTTAAATGTTTTTTCTATATACCTCAAGGTACCAGGCATGGCTTGTGAATGCTGTGATGCTGGGGCAGATGGAGCATCCCACAGGAGTGCGGGGGAGGCCCCCCTGCATGCTCAGTGGTGAACCCAAAAGTGGATTGGAAGTTCTTCCAGTCCACTTCCGGATCCACTGGGGAGTGTGTCGGGGGGATCCCCCCATGCTCAATTGGCTCAGTGATCAGCCATGGGGGGACCCCAGGTGCCCTCCCAGACCTAGGAGGCATCAGCCAGTGAGCTGGAGGGACATGGGGGGGCCCAGTGCGCTCCCTGGCGGACCTAGAAATAGACCGGAAGTGCTTCTGGTCCACTTCCAGGTCTGCTGCCGAGTGTGCTAGGAGTGCCACCCCATACTCCTGTGGGATGCTCCATCCACCCCAGCATTGCAGCATTCACACGAGCTACCTGGCACCTTGAGGTATGCAAAAAAACAACAAATCTTGCACTAATACCAAAGATCTTAGGTTACATGCTACTTTTGAAAGAGCTGGCATTCCCTTCTCCTTAGAGCAAAATTCCTGACCCCGGGCCATGACCCAAATGAGCCACCTGTTGTACTTTGGTGCAGCTGACCAGAAAAATTAACATTTCTTAAAGACCTTCATAGTTTCTGTCCTATTAGTGACCTGGCTCTCTAGTGGTGCCTCACTGTTTTTGTGCAGAAACTCAAGGACCTCTCTCAAAATCATCCCTGTTCTCTCTTCCCATTAAAACAGTCTTTCTGAGGGCTATCAACTTGGCTTAGAATGAGTGAACTCCAGGCTCTCATGGCTGAACTACACAAGCCAGGTCTACACAAGATATGTACCACATACACAGGGCAATGACAGACATACTTCTCCCTGCTCTAATGAATGGTGCTTCACAGAAAGTGCCATAAGCTGACCTCCAGCACATGTGCCAGAGCGTGGCATGCAAGGCCGTTTTGCTTGGTATGCCATAGCTAGCCCGGGCTCTGGGCAGTTGCTGCCGGCCACAGACCCAGGCTGCTTGCAGCAGGCAGCTGAGAGACTGAAAGCCCTGCTGCAAGCAGCCCAGGCTCTGTGGCAGGCAGCAGCTGCTGCAAAAAGCTGCACCAAGCTCAGCCCCAGCCAGCCTCTGTGATGACTGTGGCTGCACATGCCCCTCAGGGTGTGCTGCTGGGAAGGGGTCTGGGACTGCGCAAACCCTGGCCTCTCCCCTGCCATCCACCTGGAGGCGTGCATGTAGCTACCACCAGCAACAAAGATCAGGCCTCTCATGGCTCCTCTGCCTCTGACCAGCCAAATTGAGGCGTGGGTTGAGACTGGGGTGCTTTTGGCACTATGGGCAAAAATGTTGCTGACACCTCAGTTAAAGTGACCCCCCTGACCCAACACATGTTCACCTTTTTGTTGGGAGGGGACTGAGCACCACTTTGTAGCCAATCCAGTGGAAAGAGGCTACCTGACTGCAGCCCCTTTCCCCTAGTCCTGCCCTCCCCAGCTCCCGTGTTGTCTGCAGAATGGGAGGGGAGAGAAGAGAAGGGAGGGACAGCAGGACTGCAGCATGCTCTATTGGGTATGGCAGCAGCAACCCCACAGGACTGCTTGCACAGCATTCTGCAAGCCATGCTTATGCCAGGCTGGGGGCAGTGCGAGCTTCCTTATGAATGGGAGTAGTAGTGGCCCAGTGTGTGTGTATGTGTGTGTGTCTACATGGCTTGGAGTGGGAGTATTCATGTGCATGTGGTTTGGAGGGGAAGTGTGTGTGTGTGTGTGTGTGTGTGTGCAGTTTGGAGGGGGAGTGAGTGTGTATGCTGCTTGGTGTGGGAGTGTGTGTGTGTGTGTGTGTGTGTGTGTGGTTTGGAGGGGAAGTGAGTGTGTATGCTGCTTTGTGCAGGAGTGTGTGTGTGTGGTTTGGAGGGGGAGCATGAGAGAGAGAGTAAAAAGAATCTCTTTACTTTCCAATTCCAATGACTGTGCTCCCACCCCTCCCTCCTCCCATCCTGCAGACAGCACCTTGCTTGCATTCAGGGAGTCATACAGAAGTTAATGAAGGTGCTCCACTTTGGAGCACCTTCATCTGAACCCTCATTATGTGAGGGTTAATTTGTTGTGTGATCAGGCACTTTTAAAGTGCTCTGCAGTTGTGCACTTCCGTTAGGGCATGGCTGTAGAGCACTTTCACAGGGCCAATGACACGACACAATGTTTCTTCTGTCAGCGCCCACAGACATGCAGTGCTGCTTTATGCATGCTGCCTCTCAAAGTGAAACAGTTATGGCTGTGTTCATGATGATTAGCACTGAAGAGAAGCAGAGCCAAATAATAGGGCTGTGTGAAGCTTTGGTAGCTGATTCAATTCAGAGGAGATTTGGCCTGATTTGGTGACTGAATCTCCAAATCTGAATCGAATCAGGAGACCCATTAAAAGGTCCAAATTGAATCAGAAGCCTCCAAATTGATTCAGAGATTTGGAGGCTTGCAGCAAACAGAAATTGAGAAGAGGGAGGGGGGATGGGATGATCTTCAATATATGGAAAAAGCTGAGGGGGGGAAAGACAGCTCTGATATTGACATCTGTAGCTGGCCAGTGACTGTGATCTTTCTGAGTTCCCTTCCAGTCACAGTGCTTCGGGGGGAGGGATGTAGAAACAACATATAAAGCTGTGTCTGAGGTGCATTTTCACATAAACCCCTGTACCTATCCCCTTGAAACTTAGCAGGCTTCATGCCCTTAGAAGGGGCTACCATCCCTGCTCTTTTCATCCTAATCTGCAAAAACTGACAAAGTAATAGGTATTTTAGTGATTCCCCATTATAGTCTATGGCCGAATCTCCTCATTTGAATCCCCCAACTTAAATCAGGGCAGTGATTCGAATCACTGAATGCTTCTGGGATTAAGGATAACAAAAAGTCCTTCTTCAAGTATATAGGTAGCAAGAAGAAGTCTCGGGGTAACATTGGACCCCTATGAGGCAGGGCAGGGCAGTTGGTGAT